ACTTGCGTCATAAAACACATAACTCGCTTTAAAATTAAAATATAATAAAAGCCTATGAGATACTGATAATAATCTCACTTTTAAATTTCAAAGAGGTCAATTCATTCTAATTTTCGAGCTGAAGGAGCTAAACGTGATCTTCTGAGAGTACTATTTGCGTGCCATGTTACGCATTTGTAAGACGGAGACAACATATGCGGGTACGACGTCCTCTTAACAAAAAAATGTAAATTGTTTTAAAGAAAAATAATGGATTAAAAGACTACAAAATATATAAAAAATTATGAATAACGAGAAAACTCAGAAAAACCAAAAAAAAAAAAAAAAAATGTTCCAGAAGATTTGACAGTGGACTATATTTCATGTTTTAAATATGCTCTAGTCACATCAGTCATTGTCAAAATATGTTTATCTATTTATAAAAATCTTTTGTTTGTGTTCGAAAATATAATACAGCAAATAATTATACAATGAAACAGCAATAGCGATCAGGTAATGAAATTAGAAAAATAAAGTATAACATTAGAAAATTAATAAATTAATTTTAATTATTATTTCAGATTAAGAAATTCAAATTGTTGAAAGAAGTTTTATTCTTCAATATATCTATAATTATATCAACGAAAATTATAATAGCACGTTATAGAATAAATTAAATTAAATAAATGTAAAAATTAGATAAATAAGAACCTTTTATTATTATTATTATTATTATTATTACTAAGGTTAGGATAGTATAGGATTTTGCATTTTTTTTTAGGATTTATAGGATTTGGTCATTGAAATTATTATTTTTTAATTAATTAGGTCTTAACTATAAATTTAATTTATTTATATATCAAATTTAAATACATGACAAGTAATATAGGTATACGTAATATTCTCTAACAATATTATATAGAGAATAGATCTCCAATGAATTTATCTATGAAATACAAAATTACTTTTAAAAAGAATTATGGACTTTTACAATAGTTTTGTTTAATTAACTGTTCGGCTGTAATTGATAAAGTATGTATTTAAAATAATTGTAATTTATTTTTGGCAAAAACGATATTTATTTCATGTTATTTCTATCTATAAATATTATAATTAGGGCTAGGATTTTAATATTTATAAAACTATAAAATGCATTAAGAAATTATATATTACAAATTAAAAATTATACTATGATTTATAAAAGTCATATTTTCATTAACCATAGTACTATTTTATTTATTTAATATAATAGTAATAATTATGACTAGAATTTTAATGACCTAAAGAACCTAAAAAAAATCATAATATTTTATTTGTTACGAAAAATTCGGGAAAGTTATTTTTGACCACACAAAACCCAATTGTTATCAGGCAAAAGTCTCTTTTAATATTTATTATCAATACATCTTTTCACTATAAAAGTCTTTAGACGCAAACACACACATCACTTTAATATCAATACTGTCCTTACTTTGCACACAACCTATTTATTCATTTGTTAAAAACTTTTGTTTTTATTTTATTTCATTATAATTATTATGATCATTTCACTTCCATAATAACAATCTTAACTAACTTAACAAAACATAAATACACATTTTAACTTACGAACCTTATTAAAGAACATTGAAGAGTAATAATTTTATCCTAAAATTTTGACCATTTATCAATTTAAATCATCGAATTTATGGATATTATATAATAGACTATATTATGGGTGAATATTATATTTTACCTGTCAATTGCGCAGTAAATTGACACAAAGTCCACATTGGTATAACATTAGCAGCTGGATTTTCCAGATCATCAACCTGTGTTTGTAGTATAGCTTCTAAAATTAGAAAATACATGAGAAAATTTGTTTGAGTCTTTGATAACATTTTGGAATATATCTGTTATTTTGACTGCATACCAAATATCTAAGTAAATAGCTAAGATTATCTATTATTATATAATTTTCTATTAAACTATACATTATAATTAGATGTTGGATTAATATTCCCTTAAAAATTGATAATATTCTTTAAAAATTGTAGTTAAATATGCAAAAAATATGCTTTTACAGTAATATATTCTTCTAAATTCAAAACATGTTTTTATATTTAAAAAAATACAATCTAATTATTGATACATAAAGGTCATTAATTATGATACAATTCTATATGTTTACTGAATTTTTTTTTTGTTTATTTAAATAATCAATTATAGGTAAGTACCTTATAATTTAATTTAAAAAAAATATTAACTTAAAATTGTATTCATTCATTCCATATTGTTATTTCATTTATAGTTATATATCAATAATAACGGACTAAAAACTTATTTAGTATTATTAATAATTTTCGTCCATACAACACAAAATATCCAAATTATATAAAATTAATTGATTAATATTCTTTTTTATACAAAATATTTTTTTTATCTTAAAATATTCTCAAACATGCAAAAAAATCTTTTGCCATTATATGATTCTTAATTTTTATAGATTTCAAACAGAAATTTTATTGCAGACTCAAAAAAATATGCAAAAGAATATTATTCTAACCTCTAATTATAATATACTATTTTACTTTTTATCAAACATATCTATAGAGACTCTAATACTCTTTTTTTATACATACGTATCATTAATTTATATAGATTCGTTTAGTTAATTAACAAACAAATATTTATATTTATTTACTAATTCAAATTATTTCTACATTTTACTAATAGTATGTTTGTAATTTAATATTTAAGTATTGATGATAAAAAAGAAGGTTGAGTACCTAAATAAAAATTTTAAGAAACACATTCACTACTTGAACACATTATACATTTGTGACGATACAATAATGATAAATTTAACACTATTTCACATAAGTACTAGAGAATGGATAATAGTATACTTAAACTTATTGAATCATTTTTTGAGATGTTACTAATTATTATAGTGTTGTGGTGGAAATAGTGCAAGTAGAAATACCCAAGCTTAAGTTCGTATTTAATAAACAAAAAGTATACTTAAATTAAATATGAACAATTATCATCATAGAGAGAAAAGTATGTTAAAAAGTAGCAAATATTTCAAGAAGTCACAAACAAAATTATTAAAAATTAGGAACTTTCACATTAACTCTATCATCCAGCGCGACAGTAGTGGCGCGAAACTAAGTAAAAAAAAAAAAAAATAGCGTAATAGCCACTAACATAATATAATAAAAGGAAACCGAGTTGTACCATTGAAATACCGTGCTAATTTTTGTTAATCCATCGGCCTGCTCTACAGTGAAAATGACTGAACATAATATGAAGTTAGATAAGGTATAAATCGATCAGAATCATTGTGCAGATAGGAACAGAGGAACTCGCAAGTAGATTGGTTAAATAAATTAAAATTTATAGTCAATAATGTTTAAAACCGATTTTGCGTATGCAACGAAAATATCGTAAAATATCATATGTCCGGCTGTATGTAAACTGCGGCAAAATTTACCCTTTTCAAAAAGTCGATATGTAAACTGCGACAAAAAAAAAATTAAGATTATATAATCTGCCACAAAACCGAAAGATATATCATACAAACTGCGGCAATTTAATTAGATACCTATTGTATTATTATTTATTTATTTTTTTTAATTAAACAATTTTTTTAAATAATTTTTAATATAATAATAATATTTTTTAATTTTAAAATTGGTTTTTTGATTATACAATCATTACGATCTAATTTTTAATAATATATTTTTCAATTTTAAAAATTGGGTTTTCTTTATTTTTACGCCTAGTACTTTAAGAGATACTAATAGCTGCCATAACACGTAATACGTATTATACCTAATTAAACAATAAACGTGTATAAGTATATAAAATAAATTGCCGCAGTTTGTATGATGTATCTTATCGGTTTTGTCGCAGATTGTATAATCTTAATTATTTTTTTGCCGCAGTTCACATATCGACTTTTAGAAAAAGGTAAATTTTGCCGCAGTTTACCATCTCCCATATGTCCCTACTGATCCGCCGCTTATCGATCCCCACTGCTCTTATTGTAGCATCGGCGACGCGTGACGTACGGGCGTACGGCGATTGATGAATAAAATAAAAATAAAAGTAATAATAATAATAATATTAAAAAATAATGTAGGTAATCTATATTCTATGTCTATGATTTAAGTGATATAAATCCACAAATCCATATAAGTTCTATGTTAAAGTCTAACAGTTTTAAGTTTTAACGTTATTACGATTTATATAATAATCGTTATACGTTATTCGCTAATTTTTTAATATTTTCTATTACATTATTAAATACAGAATACTTAAAAAATGAAGCGAATAATACAATATTCTATTATTACTGTAAGTATTTGGTTTTAGATTTATATTTACATAAATATGAAATTATAACAAAATACTGTTCATATAGGTGCATATACCTATATAGTATATATTGTATATTTGTATGTTGCATTCACTAAATATCTGTCTCACCATTTACAAGAGCCACGAGCCGCCACTGAATATAATATATAATAATATTAATAATGGCTTTAATTAATAAAAAGGATAAAAAAAAGAAAAGGAAAATTAAGTATAAAAAGGAGCGTACATTGTTGAAAAAAAATTAATAATAGTAAGTCAAACAAAATTGTGACTTTTTTTATATTATAATAGCTGATATCACACCAAAAAACTTCATATTAACTCCGTATAAAAAAAGCTAAGTTAAAAAAATTTAAATAAGTAATGATTAAATCATTAAAAGACGTGATATAATATGGAAACTAAATAAAATGCAATTTTATAAGATGAGATAACAAATACCTATGTGGACAAATAAGATTAATTAAGAAGTTCAATAAGTACTTAGTCAACATATTGTTTAACTGCTTGGCAGGACTTGTAAGTGTAGGTACTTAAAAAAATACAAATAAGTAAACACTATAGTATTTTTCGTAGTTAATAATTTATAAACAATATGTTGACTAAGTATTTAATTTTACAATTGATCTTATTTGTCGTCTTAAGTATTTTCTAATATTATAAAATGGCATTTTACTTAGTTTTCATATTATATCACGTCTTTTAAAGATTTAATCATTACTTATTCAATTTTTTTTAATTCATCTTTTTTACACGGAATTATTATGAAGTATTCTTGGTGCGATATATTATACATAATGACTCGCTTCACTCAGAATCTAAAAAGTGTCGTATGTAGAAAACTTTCTATTTTGTATAGTGGGTATCATAGCATACTCCGCTTACTCTCTTGCAACGTTTATCAATTATAAATTATAATTACCTAAATATTATTTGTATTTAAAGACGAGTTGAGTTTTAAAGCTCATAAATGTATTTGTAATGAAATTTAAATAACAGACTCATTAAGGTAATTATTGTTTATTTTGCTTATTCAATAAATATTATAAAAAATAATCTAACCTGATTGCCTGGATATCTGAGTGCCATGAGTAACTGTAGCCGTGGGAATAGAATTTTGAACTAAATTATGATCTGATACCAGGATAAAATAAACTTTGCTATAACTTCTTGTAATTAAAGACTGATCTCCTATTCAATGAAAATAAAATAATTATTAAGTCATTAATCAGTAAGTAGATATATAAAAACAATCTTACCGGTTTTTGTCATAATTGGAGAATGTTGACTTGTTTTCTTGTTTTTTTTTTGTTTTTTTTTATGTTTAATATTCTCCTCAAAAATAACAGGGACTGCAGACCTTGTCAATACTCTTCTGATACCGGTTAGGATTACACAATCTTTTTCAAAATGAGAAGAACACAACTTGGTATAAGATTTTATGTCCTTCTCTACCAATCCGCAATTTTTAAGCCAAATTTCTCGTCTGGCTTGTTTTTTGGGAAATCTAATGACAGATGGATTTTTATAAAGTATAATTTTTCAATCAAAATTGACAAAAAAAAAAAAAAAAAAGTGAACGGAGTGTATGTAAAAGGTAACAAAATTTGAACAACACTTACTTGTGCAAAGAAATATCAAATCCTTTTTTTGTGGACTTACAGCACACCACACACAGGTTGAAGTTTTTCTTGTTATGGTATGTCGGCATGTTAATTTTGATAATATATAATTTTGAGTAAATTATAGGAAAAACAATTTAATGAAAACGTAAATAAATTTAAAACTCAGATATTTTTTTGGAAAAAAATTTAATTAAGTATTGTTGAGTGATTTGATCTAATAGTAGGAATGACCACCAGCGGCACGCGTTTCAAGATATACGTTTGTCTCGGCTGACGAAGACTATACGACGGAAATCAATGGAGGCAACCGATGGGTAGGTATATAGGTCGACTACTGCCGAACGGCTGCCGAAAGTTGATTTTCTGATAAGACTCACGAGTGGGGTTACAGCGCTCGGTCTTGGGGGTGGTAGCAGCAGAAGCGTCAGCGCACCAGTTACAGGTTGTCAGTTATTATTATTTTATATGTGACTCCGTAACAAATAACACAACAATTAGCAAGCAATTATAATATCCTGGAATGCACATATTATCCAGGGTATACTATATAGGCGTAAATATGGTTGAAAACAAAAATGAAAACTAGAGATATCAATAAACACATATTAATATTATTTATTATACTGATGATTGACGTGGTAATGTTAGTAATTATTTAGGTGGGCTTTAGGAGTTTATTTTTAGAAGCTCTTTTTCCAATTTAGGTCTATAGTGTGTTACATACTTTACGCACTTTTATTAGTCTAATTATTATCATTATCATTATTATAAAAATAAAATAAATATAGATTGTACATTAAAAATTAGATCTCGGATATAAATGCTCTTAAAGCTATCAAAAATGCTCTAAAAAAATAATTATAAATGTCTTTTCAATGAAATATTGCCCTTAAAAAAGACATCAACTAAAGGAAAATTACACTTTAATTTTTGGAACTTTTAATACTTTATCTTAATTATAAACTAACAATAATACAAAATAAAATACCTGAAAAATTAGGCATTCAATAAATATTATATACTTATTGGAAAAAAAACTGGGATACCATTTTTAAGTATTTAAATATTTAAATACAATTAGCGTTTTGATATGTTTCGTATCAAAATTTTTCATTGGAATACGCTATAATATATTTAATGAAAATTATAATTTAAAAATATTAGTTTAATTTTTAATATGATCAATTGGTACTAAATGATTTTCTAGATGGCATAATGCACTAATAGTAAATCAAAATAATATTGTTATAATTTATTTAAATACATTTATTCTACTAGGTTGAGTAATTCTATGAATGAAAATGATAAAGAATTTGGTATTTAGCCAAAAAGTACTTATATAATAAAATTTTTATTATGTTCTTGGTAAAAAAATTAATGAAGTAGTTGTGATAAGGAGTTAAGCAACTAAAGACAAACGATAAATTATGATTTAACGGTTAAGTATGTGAATAAATCTTATAGTTAGTCTCTTGAGAATTATTTAATACCAACTTTTTTAATTTTATGCTTTTTGAATTTAAAAAAAAAATAGATACCTAGAATAACTAGAATATAAATATTAATTTTAGGGATTAAAAATTGTGTATGTTAATAATAATAATTTTAATTCAATTTTTTTTCAAAAATCAAGGAAAATGGTTATTTTTTACAAAACCGATTGTTAACATAATCTATTATATTTTTTAGTGTTGCTAAAAAAAAATATTCTTAAATACTTTAAATTATCACTAATTACTAACTTATTAATAAAATAAAATCCTACAGAATAATTTTCAAAATATTTTGACTAATTGTTTTTGTCTTATTTACCTACACTATTTGTTAACATTTTAAATTTTCTATAAGTTTTGAATGTTGATTCAACATTCAAAATTTATGTGCATATATTACCAGTGTACATGAAAAGAAAAATTGTTAATATTTAAAACAAAAAGAACATGATTTTTTTTCCAATTTTTTTTTTTAAATCTATGCATAGAATACAAATTCAAATGAATATAAGATAAACGGTACATATATGGAATAATACCTACTATAATATTATTAGCTGATGCATAATAATGTACAAGCTATCCTATATTTTATAATACCGTTCAAGACTCAAGTACCTATGATAATACCTATGTATTATTTTATTATTAGCTTGAATCGTAAAAAGTAGTATATTTTGAAACTATTATTTTAGAGGTTTCCAACCCCACTTTTGATTGGCGCACTCGAAAATATTTTCTTATATTATATTATGCATATATGTTATTTAAAAATATTTAGAGACGCATTCGATGAATAAATTTAGTTTGATGGGGGAAGATAATAACAATCTCCTTATACGAAAGTAATACAATATGCATATTATGTGTACGTCATGTATAGATATAATACGTCTCGTAAAATTAAACTATGTTTTTACTGATGCCCACGTCAGTTGACTAGAGGGATGTTACATATTGTCAAAAATGGAAGGAGAGTCTCCTTATAAAAAGGGTCTCCTTTTTATGTCTTTCGTTTGTTTTTATTCTAAGTTGACAAAGAAATAAAACAATAATAATTTGTTCATCATTAAATTAACAAAACATAATTACTATTATTATGTAGCATTTATTTCTTAGCTAAAGTTATACACATACATTATTAATTATAGCTATAGTTTGTTTAAGTTATATTATTCTATAGTTTTGTTTTAGTACATTTAACTTAGTAAATAGTATGAACATTGTACCTATTATATTTTTTAAATAGAAACTATTATGAATGTATGTATGTACTGTATAATTTTAGTTACTTATTAACTAGAATCAGTAATTATTAAGATATTCTACATTCAAAACACAAAAAAAAAAAAAAAATTACTATGACGAAATTGATGGAATTAAACTGGTCAAGTTAAGAAATGTAATAATTTTCTATAAAAATCATTATATTCGTACGTAATTTATATCTCTTAAAAATTGTATATAATATATTTGTTTATTTAAAATTACTTGCAACTTAATTGAACCAAAATATAAATTTTAAAATTTAAGTTAAACTTGTAAAAAGTTTAATATTCAATTACTTATATGTAGATCAGTATTTAATTTTACTTAGTAAGTAACAGTGGTGGCTCTAGGGGGATGGCAGGAAGCCATGCTCCTCCGAAAATACTAATAAAAAAAAAAAACAGGCGAATTTAAAAATTATATGATCCGCTTTTATTATTATGGTTTATAATAATACTATATTATATTATATTAGTATACTAAATATCATTTAATTGTAAATTGTTGTTAGTCGTTTTCTTACATTTCCGCGTAGTACACTATTATGCCAGTTCGTAGTATCTTTACGTGGGTTTCCGATAGAGACGTTTAGAGTAATATCGCTTTAATGTTTGTAACTTTTTTATACCACGGCGATTTTACACGAGCAGACAACTTAGAGTTACCATAGTAAAATATTTTACCTTATCAAGACATCCATAGATCAATTTGCTAAAAATAAAAATCGAAAATTAGATTTTGTTTTATAAAATATAACTGTTATAATTGTATATATTTATTTTGTATAATATTTTGTACTTATGACTAATGTGGGTAATATGTGGCACTGATTTTGAATCATTGGAACAAATATATTATAAAAAAATTAAAAAAAAAATTGTGTGAAGTTTGAAGAATCAAACTCTAGAGTCGCCACTGGTAAGTACTTAATGATTAATAATGAATTGATTTTACAATGTTTGTTTTTTTTTTTTTTTTAAAGAAGTTAAAATAAATATTCTTAGTACTTTTCTTCAAATATTAATATTAGCATTTTCTGTGCAGAATAATTTTCAAAATATTTTGACTTGTTTTCTATTTGTAAATATTTTAAATTTGAAACTTTTTTATTTTTAATTTTATAAATATTGACAAAAATATTTTAACCTGGTATTAAAGCTTTAAAATTATACAAGATATTAAAAAATCAATTACGGCTCGTGGGTTTTTAATTAAGTAGGTGTACATCCAAAACAAAATTTAATCAATATTATATATATACTCGTATGTTATCGGCAATGTATTGAATCCGGTATTATATAGAAATCCTAGGTATTGTATAGAATACCAAAAATGAGCAGGAAAAGTATTGAGTATATTACAATGACTAGGTATTCTATAATTTATAAACCACTTAACCTCAAGCAGGAAAAGTATGAATAATTAATATAAAACTTAGATTTGTACCTAGTGTACAATTAATGTATATTTAAATATATTTTTTAAATTTATATTAATGTTTATCTTGATGATTGTGGTATCGCATACAACCAGGGCCGTCCTTAGGGGGGGGGGGGTGAACAGGGCCCGGGCCCTGGGCCTCGCGCTTTTTGCTTAAATTTGGGGCCTCGCGTTTGAAAAAAGTAGAAATTTATATCAAAAATTATATAAAAATAACGAAGTTGATTCAATGTAAAAATATTGAAATATCAATAATACAATATTATCGTAATCGCAACACATCGCTATGGTGATGCGGGTAGCAGGCAGCAGTCACCGACCGTCTTATTCGTCGAATTTTTATTGCTTATTACTAATAGTCTGTGGTTTAAGTTATCGGCATAATGGTCGACAAGCAACGATAAGAAATGAACTAGTGTGAAATCAGTAAAAATAACTAAAAATGTGGGAAAATGACCTAAAAATCTCAAAAAATGACTTAAAAAGTAATAAACACCAAAAAAATGCAAAATAAAAATTAGTTATTTAGATTCACATGCTTATGAAACAGAATTGTGGCCAGGAAAGCATCGTCTAAAAAGTTCCAAAAAAAAAAAATGCAAAATGCGTCAACTTCCGAGCCCTACTTATTAGTAATAGATAATAATAGATTTATTCGTTCGTCGTTCGTCGACTGTCATCGTTGAAAAACATTGATAATAATAAATAATATTTATTGAGCAAATAGTAGATAGACCGAATTTATTAGTAATAGTTTTTACTTTTTAGTGTAATCGTGTGTGCGTTTGCTGTTGACATCGATTGTATCTAATATTCCAATACAATAATATTAAAATGAGTGGTCGATTACGCGATAAATATCGAAAATTTAAATGTGGTGGTGA